ACCGGGATAAAAAGTAGCCTATGTGCTAGTCCAGACTATAGTCTATGTTTGTGCCAAAGTTCATCCAGATCGGTTTAGCCGTTCTTGCGTGATTGAGCAACAAAAATCCATCCATACATCCAAACTTTTGCATTTTAATATAAGTTGTATTTAATTTTTTTTTACTCATGAATTTAAAACTTAATCCTCGCGTCATATTTCACATGGACTTTTTGTTTATCGAATTTGTTTTATTTTATTAGGTCGCGCTGTGATATAATAGAAATAGTTTTATAAATAAAACAATTACAATTTAATTATAACATTTATTTAAAAATACATACAATTAATTTTAACATGAGCTGTTTCGTAACAATTACAATGCATTAGATTGCCTTATTCAGATGCCTAGATTTATTTACATTAAAATTCGAAATATATATTTATTGCGATCATAGATATACTTATATACATAATTCCTATTTTTATTTTCGAAACCAAAAACTCTAAACAATCCCGGCATTCGAACAATTCAGTATTAAAAAAATTATACAAGGGGTTTCTTGTCCCCTTAATTTTAAAATGCGTGTTCTTTAAAGCAATACAATCACACATGCGGTTTCAAAAATGCCTATTCGCTAGTAGGTAAGTTTTCTTCAAAAATATATTATTCTCAAAAATATTTATCCTTAAACCACATAAAACCTTCTTAGGTATTCTTCAGTACCGTCCAGGACAAACTAAAAATCTGTGTGATCTGGACCTAGAACATAAAAATTCGAAATTAATGAAAATTAGGAACAAAAATGCATTTTGTATGAACATACAAAAAGTAATAAATATTTGTCATGTTATTTTGATCAGGTCTACCAACTTTCGTTTAATTCAAAAATAAATAGAATTTCGTTTTTTAAGTATACGCTCAAATTTAATTCACTCTCCAGCAAGGCCCTGGAAGTAAATTGAAAATATGTAGCTGAATTCCTTTTATTTTGAGTATAGACTATGATTTGGAGGCCTACATCTAAACACTGTCTATGCAATTTTTTTCAAGTGGAGCAAAACATTTATATTGATTACCTTGTGTAAAAATAGTATATTCTTCAACGAGCATAGAATAATTGCCATATTCTATGCGAGTTGAAGGCTATACTTTCTCCACGACTGTTATAGACTGTTATACAGGGTGATCTTAAATTCTAAAAAAAACTTCGTAATGATTCTAATATCTAAAACATGGTCAGTTTAAATCCAATCGTTTGATGTTTACGTCAATTCACGGAAGGCATAGCACACCTTTGATAGTGATGTATTAGCGAATTTCTATTGGGCATAAATATGATGTAATATTATTTTGTAGTTTGTGATCGGTTGATTTCATTATTCCACTAGTTGAAGAATGTAAACATTCTGTTTTTATTTATTTTTTCTTTAAACTGAAAAGCTAGATTGACTTTAATGAATCATGTAAATGTTTAATATAAGTTTTGGTCAGATTTACATGTAAGTGGAAGGTTTAAAATATTTTAAGATATAGGATGATTCACGATTAATCACAATATATTTTTGAAAATACTTATTAATTCTACAGTTGCACCACAGAGAAATTATTGCATTAAGTTAATATCTACCCGTTCACAATTTGGAGGTTAAAAGAATTTACCATGTGTACTTTTTATACAGAGTGAGCCATGCAGCAATCCTCCAATAATAAATATGTTTTGAAATTATTGAAACGGGACCATGTATTTCCTTAATGACTCTAGAGTATTTTATTAACATTACATTAGGTATGTAACCATAAGATTTTAAAATATTCAAGATAATCTAACAATTTTATAATTATAATTATCTACAAAATAAATCGGTGTATAAATCATTTTCCTATATTAAAGGGGCCCTATACGCTATGATTTTTGTAAGATTTGAACTACCCAGCCCATCGATTTAGTCCTTGTGAAGTGCGGATCTGACTCACGTCTGGTCTCTCCACTTTTGTCAAATGTGAAGGTAAAGAGTGAAATCAGCTCATCAATTCTTGCCTTTAGATCAGAACTGTGCGTTTTGGCCTGCAGGCCATATTTGAGCGTGAAGGCTCCCCATTAGTGACCAGTTCCGGTTAAACCGGTTACATTCTTTAACGGTTTTTTGGAACCGGTTAACCGGTCACGGTTACCAGCCTTACTTTAGACCGAGTTATATGATACATTAAAAATGATAAAACTATGTTAACTTAGCGGTCAGTTCTTTTTTTATGCTTCCTATAAGTTCCCTATTCTATAAGATATACTGCTCAACTCAACACGCATGCTCTACAAAAAAAAAAAAAAAAAAATATCCTTAATTTTATGGATTGGGTCTATTGGGGAACCCCTATATGCAGGGTGCCTCGAAATTGGAGAGTCATATTTTAACAGCGTAATATACGTTCTAAAATAGAAGTAATAGCTTATATAAACATAGGTCCGAAAACGTTTCGTTTTCGAGATAGAGAGTGTTACAAGTGAAGTCCTGATGGCACATTTTTGTAAATATTTTCTAAAATTTATTTAGTCACCGGTTTTCCAAAGTTAAAAAAACTAAAATTTCTGATTCCACAGGCTTACTTATTATTGTTTACACTTTCGAATAAGATAACATCAACTTAGCTTTATTATAAAGAAAATATTGGTTTTCTAAATTTTGTAGTCAAAAATGTTAAAAACAGTCAACAAAAAAACTAATTTACCCACCTTTGAAAATGATCAAAAACTGGCGTTTAGTCCATTAAATAGAGCGTAAAAAGTTTAGCATTTGTACCCAATTTCACTTAGTTATCTTTAAAGTTTAGAAAATATTTATAAAAATGTATCATCAGGACTTCACTTTTAACACCCTGTATCTCGGAAACAAAACGTTTTCGGACCTATGTTTGTATAAACGTTTACTCCTATTTTAGGATGTAGATTATGCTGTTAAAACATGACCGTCTAATTTTGGGACACACTGTATATAAAAAAAAAACACCAAAACCTCTATTTCTCTGGTGGTGTGGAAATGATCTTTTCTAGTAATTGATGCAATATGCGTTCGTACCTATGGTTTCATTCAGGTCTGTATGGTGTCTGCATTGATGTTTTTTAAATCATTTAAGTGATTCTAATCTAGCAGTTTATATTTTCTATAATAAGTTCTACGAATTATTAGATGCTTATGTTTCACTTCACAAAAACTTCAAGCATACTTATCCAGTATGGTACTTAGGAGAAATTATTAATCTTACCAAGAATAAAGCAAAAATTCATAAAAAATAAAAAAAAACAGACAATATTGCTTATTACTAGGAGTTCAGTAGACTTAAATCATTAGTTAGGGCAGAAAATTCATGAGGAACATGTAAGTTATCTAGAAAATCCTTAAGCTTGCTTAGTAAATGAACCAACATCTTTTTAGTCCTTTGTTCATCAAAAAAACAATATTTTTCAGGCAATGCATTCAAAAGCTTCTTTAAAAGTGTTTACTCTTTGCCGAATCCAGATGACACATTTTAATTTCAATAACTGCGACCTTATTGATATTAGTTACGAGCCAATATCTGAAAAAGAAGATTTTGGATGCTGCTTCCAAGTTACAGGACAAGTTCATATCTGGTCCTGATAGAATTCAATCATTTCTGTTGAAGGATTGTATAACTTTTCCTAACCGTTGGAAAGTAGCCAAACTTTGTCTCGTACATAAGTCTCAAGATCATAATGTCATCAATAACTATAGACCCTTATCGATTCTCAATAATACAGCAAAGATCTTGGAGTCAATTTTATACAACCGTAGCTACAAAACATATTAGCTTTCAGCTTTCATGAACTCGAAATCCACAATAAGCAGTATTTAGTCAATACTTGTGTGAAGAAGTTGTCAAGTAGATGCGTTATATACGGATTTTCCAAGGCAATTGACAAAATTAGTCATGAGATACTTCTCAAAAAACTTTATTGCCTTCGCTTCAACGACATATACCTTTCCTTATTTAAATCATATTTGCACTAAAGAAAGCAATATGTTCATCTAAAAAGATTCGCCTTCAATATTTACTCTGCAAACAGTGGGGTCCCGCAGGGTTCCAATCTAGGCTCCCTGTTCTTTTTATTATTTTACCAATGATTTTTGTGATTCATTCGATATTAACAGATTAATGTCTGCTAAAGACTTAAAATTGTATACACTAAATGATTGTGTAGTATTAGAAGAGCAGCTAAATTATTTACAAAATTGGTTTCTTAAAATGCTTGGTAAAGAGTATTAATTTTTGACGTTTTTATTTTCACAAAAACAATAAAGTTGACATTGATTTTACATTATAAAATAATTATCATTAGAGCAAGAGGTAAAATCTGATAAAAAAAGGTAAATTTCACGAACACTCAATAAGCTGACATGCATTTTACTTATGGACTTGCAGACAGAAATGCATACGAAGCCAGGAGGATATACCAAGAGCGGTATTCAAATCGCGTACTACCCGATCCGAGAACATTTTCTTGGATTCATAGACGTCTTCACGAGATCGGAACTTTAAAAGTAGACTACATAATTAAAGAAGTCCATCAAACAGTAAGAACGCCGGAACTTGAAGAAGGAATTTTACATGAAATTGAGGAGAACCCCCAAAACTAGCACGAGGAAAATCGCGGCAACATTTAATATTTCACATGTACTGTTTGGAAAAATATAATCAAAAATTTGTTGTACCCATATTACATTCAAAGAATCCAGGCATTACTTCCTAGAGATTTTCCGTTGCGCAATAATTGCTGTGTGTGGTTTTTCTCGTAACTCAATAATAAATTTAAACCATTTATGGGCGGATGAAATTCCTTATGCAATTGTTGAATCAAATCATCAAGAATAGTTCTCATTAAATGTTTTATTCATGATTATTTGATAGGCCCATTTTTTCTCTCAAAAAAACTTGATGGACAATCCTATTTCCACTTTCTTGAAGAAGATCTGCCGCCAATGCTTTAAGATGTGAAAGAAACCAGATGTTGCTATTGCACAGTGAATATTTAAATCACACCTATTGCAATCGGTGGATAGGTCGCGGAGGAACGCAGTCATGGCCGCCTAGATCTTCAGACCTTAATAGACTATACCACTTTTTCTGGGGACATCTGAAAAGCTTAGTGTACGCAGTGCCAATTCAAACCAAAGAAGAGTTACGAAATCGTATAATAGTATGCTGCCAAGCCATAAGAAACACCCCAGGAATCTTCGAAAATGTGAGTCAGTCTATACAGAGGAGAGTAGATGCTTGCATTCGTGGGGGTGGAGGACACTTTCAACAAATAAATAATTTAAGTACTTTATTTTATTTGGATTCTCTTGTCATTTCGCTTTAGATTTAAGATTTCAAATTTATCGTTTTACTAAATAAATCGCGAGTTATAAAATAGAATTTTTCTGTCCAAACATTCAATATCATTCCTACGCGAACGTCACTGGTGGAAGTAGAAAATTAATTTTTGCTCCAAAAAAGTGTTTCCACGCATGGGTGCCTACCAAATTTAAAAAAATATCAAAAATAGTTTCAATAAACGTAAGAAATATTTTTTGTTTTAATGTACGCGAAAACGGTGCGTCGTACGAAAGTAAGTCTGAACCGAATTTGCTCTAAAATTAATGAGCATTTCAAAAATAATTTTGGTTTTTAGAAAAAGCGGTGGCGTACCATTTTCTTCTTCAAAAATATTTAGTTCAAACTCCGTATGGACGCCACTGGTAAAAATTTAAAAAAAAGGTGTGTCGAAAATTTCATAAAAATATCTGGAATGATAAGAAAATTATGATAAAAAAGTATTTTTTTCTTAAAAATATAACACCCTGTAACTCAAAAATTAGAAGTTTTAGGACACATGTTGATATTTACTTTTCTTCTTAAAATCACTCAAGGATTCCCACCCTTGAGTATCGACACTCAATTACGAGGGTTGCCTTTTATATTTCGGGATAAGAGAACAAAAACAAATATTAATCATCGAAAATCACTTTAGTGTTTTCAAAATATTCTCCATGAAGATCTATACACTTCTGCATGCATTTGAACTAATTGTCGAGGCAGGTTTGCCACTCTGATTGAGGTATCTCCAAAACATATATTCTACCGCTTCTTCAGGTGTTGAAAAACGTTGATCTCTCAGTTTATTCCTTACGTACGGAAATAAAAAGAAGTCATTCAGTGCCAAGTCAGGACTATACGGCGGATGACTCATCACATCGACGTTTTGAGTGCTCAAAAATGCAGTTGTTTGTGCCGATGTGTGAGAGCTCGCATTGTCGTAGTGAAGAGTGATCCGTCTTCGGCGGTTGGATTTCCTCATTTCTTGGAATACAACTGGCAAAAAAATGGTTGTGTATCACTCAGAATTGACTGTTCTGCATTGTTCTAGTGGTACGGTTGCGACATGTCCAGTTTTTCCGAAAAACAGGCGGTCATTTGCTTGGAAGTGGTTCGTGCGCGAACAACTTTTGTTGGATTTGGCCTATATTGAAACACCCATATAGTCAATTGCTCGGGCTCATACCCATAAATCCACGATTCGTCACCTGTCACTAAGTCATAGACGTGTTTCGAAGTACCGCGATCGTATTTTTTGAGCAATTCTTTTGACCAATCGACAAGAGCCTTTTTTGAACGATTAATAAATTGTGTGGGATCCAACGCGAACAAATTTTTTTGACAGTAGTGAAATGTTCATGCAATATTGAATGTATGCTGGTCTCACTAATGCCCAAGGTTGTCTCAATCTTACGATAGGTCACATGACGATTTTTCAATATCAGTTCGCGCACAGCATCAATGGTTTCTGGAACAACAACTGATTTTGGACGACCTTTACGAAATTCGTCTTGGAACAAACTACGACCTCGATTGAATTCACCATACCAACGATAAACACTGGTCTATAATGGAGCCTCATCGCCAAAAATTGAATTAAGTTCATCGATGCACTGTTGGTGAGTTAATCTACGTCCAAAATTGTAAAAAATTATCGCACGAAAATGTTCACGATTTAATTCCATTTTTTGGCCGAAATGAACCTTTTAAGTTACTGTAAACAACACAAATAACGCTCGTATGTCAGAACGTTCTGAGTACACATAACCTCAAAAATGTCAAACTTTACGACAGAGCTGTCAGTTGTCAGTTTGCAACACTAGGGTTGTCAAATCCCAAAATATAAGAGGCAACCATCGTAATATACACTCTGAATAACATGCTGTAAATACAAAAAAAAAAAAATTAAGCGAGAGTTCTACACTACTGGATTTTGATTTAGTGTAAATGTATTTAGCTATGTATAATTTTTAAATTGTTTCTTTATTCTTTATTAGATTTTTTTTATAAAAAATAAGATTTTGGAATTCAGTCTAACATCAATGCGGTTAAAAAAAATGATTTTTTTAATTTACTTTTAAAATATTTTTGTGACGTATATGTTTGTGTATTGATTAGCGCACTTTTTTATATCAAGCAGTGTAGCTATCATCACTAATATTTTGTTGGAAAACATCCATTAAGAGACAACACGGTAACATAATCTTTCAGGTTTCAAGCCTTTTAAAATAAAATGTTAAACCATAATTAAATACAATTAAGAAGATTATCATACTATGCTTTTATTTCGCCCATAAAATTATTTATAATTTTTACCGTATTAGTAAATTTTTTCTAAAAACAAAAAATCAAACAAATTTTTAGTTAGTACCACATGCAAAAATAAAACCAAACTGTTGCACAAGAAATAATTATTATATAATTTTAAAGTAAATAAATGTATGGCATGCTCAAATCCTTTCATTAGCAAACTACACCTTATTATTATAACAACAACAAAAAGAAAAAATATATTCAGTTAGGAATTAATATCACAGTTTAAAATAAATCAAGCTCATACATGATAATTGTTAATAACTATATAATGTGCAAAATGAATTAGTGAAAAGACTAATCAAAAGCAAATAAAAATATTCTTTCAAATTCTAAGGTGGAGTTTACTCCAGAGTTAATCAGTGCATCATGAGCTTATCTATGAATTTTTCAAAAAAATCTTTGAATCAAAAAAATATTTTTATTTAAAATCCATAGATTACGCTAGCATAACGTTTATCTAATCCCACAGATAGGTATAAGTAGTATTTAGTTGACCGGTTTCATATGTTTAGTTATTTGCTTTTTTGGGAAACAATTTTCAAAAAACAAGGACAACACTCTACATGTTACTTAAATGCTATAACTGAGGATTATGTAGATTAATTAAAAATATCTTAAATATTACAAAAATCTGATGTGTCCAACATTGTACAACATTGTACAACCTATTGCAGCACCTCTGTAAATGTTTAGAGGATAAACTAAATATATACATTTTCCACATACATCTAACATATTTCTATAATATACAGTGTGTCGCATTTAATATGAAGACACCCCTATATTTTGGCTATCTAGATAACTACAGATTTGAAATTTTGCACATACAGATGGTTCACATTTTTCAAGACATTCAACTGAAATTTAAATTTTAAACGCGGCCTACTACTGCGAATCCACAAACAGGGTCAATTTTCGATATTTTTCTTCGCGTTAAAGATATCAGAAAAAGTTATTTGAAAAAGTTGTTCCGAATATTATTTTAACCCCACATACCAAATTTCATGACAAAATTCGCAATTTTAGTTTTTTTATTAGTTTGGTCAATGCACAAAAAATTATTAAAATTTGATTTTTTTTATTCGATAAACTAGTGTGCCATGATTGACATTAATGATTTCACAAATATCAAATTATTCCTATCCATGGCACACTAGCTTATCGAATAAAAAAAATCAACATTTAATAATTTGGTGTATTGACAAAATTAATGAAAAAACTAAAAATGCGAATTTTATCATGAAATTTGATATGTGGGGTTAGAATAACAACTTTTTCAAATAACTTTTTCTGATATCTCCAACGCGAAGAAAAATATCGAAAATTGACCCTGTTTGTGGATTCGCAGTAGGCCGAGTTAAAAATTTAAATTTCAGTTGAGTATCTTGAAAAATGTGAACCATCACCCTGTATGACTGCAAAATTTCAAATCTGTATTTATTTAGATAGCCAAAATATAGGGGTGTCTTCATCTTAAATGCGACACACTGTATATTCAATGAAAACGAAAATACTGAAAAATTTAAATTTTACACCTGCTCCAATTTTTTAATTACGGTCCATTTTAGAGAAATCATGTAAAAAACAAAAATTATAGAGATCGATGTCTCAAACAACTTTTAGTTCAACAATTTTCTTAAAAATCCGAATTTTGCACATTTTGTCAAATTTCTCGAATACGGACCATTTCAGAAAAATGTATAAATTAAGAATTATAGAGAATAATATCATAAGTAACTTTTATTTAGAGAGTTTTCTTCTGCAAACATAAATAACAGATATTCCGTAAAAAATTAAAACGATCGCCCAGATGTTGCGACTCTGCCCAAAATCTAATCAATTAACTACAGGCCGGAATAAAGCTTAATTTCAAAATTTAATGTTTTTTCTTTATCCGTTTTTGAGTTTTTTTCAAAATTCGAAATTTACATTTTTCTCAAATATCTCGAATACGGTTCATTTTAGAAAAATTATGTATGGAACAAGAATTACAGAGAATTATATCGCAAACAACTTTTATTTAAACAATTTTCTTAAAAATTTCAATTTTTTACATTTTGTAAAATTTCTCGAATACGGACTATTTTGGAAAAAATTTGTATAGATCAAAAATTATAGAGAATAATATAGCAAGTAACTTTTATTCGATCAATTTTCTTCTCTAAACATAAATAACGTATATATTCCATAAAATATCTAAACAACCTCCTACAAAGTACCCCCCAAATGTTCTGACTCTGTCCAAAATCTAATCAGTTCACCTCTGGCCAGAATAAAACTTAAGTTTAAAATTTAATGTTTTTTTCTTAACCTATCCGTTTTTGAGTTTTCTTCAAAATTAGAAATTTTATCTCGAGTAGGGTCCATTTTAAAAAAATTATGTATAGAATAAAGTACCCCCCATATGTTCTGACTCTGCCCAAAATCTAATCAGTTCACGACAGGCCGGAATATAGCTTAAGTTTAAAATTTAAAAGTTTAAGAACAAGAGCCATGCTCGCCGCCGAAGGACAAGTGTGACCGAAGCCAACATTAAGGTGATCCAAAACCTTATGGAGAGAAATTGCCACTTAACTATCTGGAATATCGTTGAGGAAGTGAATATCAGTTACGGGAGTATCCACTGAATCGTAACAGACGATTTGGGATTTCGCAAAGTGTTCGCTAGATGGGTTCCACGTCTGTTATCGGAAGATCAGAACAACATTGATTAGAGCTTTCGCAGCGTCTCTTCGATCGATTCCAGCAAGAGGGTGAAACATTTTTAAAACGTATAGTCACCGTTGACGAAACTTGGGTACATCATTATACGCCTGAGTCTAAACAGGCGAGTATGGAATGGAGAAAAAGCGGCGAGGAGGCACCTGCGAAAGCAAAGACGCGATTGTCAGCCGAAAACCTGTTTTTCACATTGACTTTCTACACTATCAACTCACGTTTAATGCACAATATTATTGTGAGATACTGGATGCCCTAAAATTGTCATTTAGAAGTAAAAGGAAGAATCAATCGGTCAGAAATATAATTCTTTTGCATGACAACGCCAGACCTCATGTGGCTAATATCACGAGGGAAACATTGGAAACATTTGGATGGGAAATACTGGAACATCCTCCCTATAGGCCAGACCTTTCCCCTTGTGACTTCCACCTTTTTGGACCCCTCAAAGAAGAACTTAGAGGCCAGTGTTTCGACGATAAACGAAGCAGTGGAAGTATTTGTTGTTCAATGGCTACAAAATGTATTTCTAGGGGGATATGTAGAAAAATAATGTATGTTTGAAAAGCTAATAAATCCCGTTTACATTTGATACGCCCTCGTATCAAAGATCTTTCGCAAAATAAAGGTAGTCGTGGTTCCAGTTGCATTTTATATTGGACCGCTACCATGGCCGATAAAGTAGTGATGACCACTGCAACTGTATCATCATTTTTATTCTTACATTATTCATGAATCCATCCATACAAATCTAAGGTAAAACCAAACCAAAGGAAAATTGACAAACTGTATGTACTAAACAATGTGCTCCAACCAGGAATTCAGTTTTTATAATGTTTCTTTGATTTATTTTTGCCTTCGAGTTGTGAGGATGGATTCCTTAATTTTCGTAGGGGGAACTGATTTTCAAAAATTGTTATGGTTATCTATGTCATAAATTTAATACAATCCGCAAAAGAACAAAGTAACACTAGCCTAAATCCACAATAATTATACTTCCTATAAAGTAGAAGTAGAAGTACCGAGGATAAACGACTAAAAATAGAGTCTAGATGCTTTTATTTCTAAAGGACTCTTCTAGTTTCACGCTAAAGAAGTACAAAAATATTCACTAGAAGGAGCTCCTAATAAGTCGATGACATCTAGGCAAACCTAAAGTTAGGTATATCTCGTTTTGGTAAACTAATATCAAACAAAAGAAGCAATTCAATCATTTTCTAAAACAAATCTATTTCATGAAACTTATTGTATAAAACTTAATCTGTGTCTCAGCCTTTAGATGCGCATTCATCAAGTTACATATTAGATGAATAAATCAATCTATTTTTTAAGATTGCATCGGGTCAAATGTAGTCGATAATTATTTAGAATAGGTAGACACAGTGTTATTTTTGTTTCCTGTTTTCTAAAATTGTCTTGTATTAAAAAATTAATTCCTAAATTGGCAAAAACAAACGTATGCATCAGTCAACCATTTTCAACTTTATAATCATTCTGGTGGATTAGATAACCTTGCATCAAGAACTCAATTTAATTTGAGCTCCTGAAAAATCATTTGCTAGCTTAAGCCTACTAAAAAAACTAAAATATTGCCACTTTTTCAATTAATTGTACCTCTAATTATAACAGGGTCCAACAAATTTATCATTATTTCGCTTATGCCTCTCTTTGGAATATCAAGAGGCACTCGTAACTTCGTTCGTTTCTAAGGGAGGTTTATCGGGAATAGGAGAAGGATTTTCCGAGGTCTCTAGTAGTTTTATCAGCTTTTTATGAATGTTTTTCGATGACAACACTCTTGGGCATTTACCTAACGGTCCTAAAACACCTGATTGCAGTCCTTTAAATGCTTTCGAAGGAAATATATCGTAATTTTCTTCATTTCTATTCCACGATTCGTAATATTGTTTGTAATCGTCGAAACTGTTACCGAATTCTTGAGGCGTCTGGACAGCAGTAGAATAACCGGTACTAGATCTCATCGGTGACAAAAAGCTACTGAAATCATCGGAAGGTGTATCATTTATCTCCATGTCTTCTTGTAAAATCTGTACAGCAGCCGCGTACAATTTTTCCTTGGGTAAATTTTTGAAGGCTTGTCCTTTTTTTAGTTTTAACAAACTATCAATCAACTCGTTAACTAATACATCATTTACTGGTTCCTTAAAATCGTTATTTTCATTTAAATGTAATGTTAAATTTTGTCTTTGAGACGCCTGTTCGTTTTCATCACTTTCTTCGTCGCATTGTTCCTGTAAAAGTTTAAACAATCTGGAATGAGTAGCGGCGCGTTGGTATTTAGTTAATTTTCTTAGTTCAGGAAACTCTTCTGTATCTGAAATATGTCTACTCATGTCTGATGTAACACCCGAATCTACTTCTTCCTCTTCGCTCTCTTCAAACGATTTAAGACTGCTTTTTGATGAAGTAGGTTTACTTCTGGATTCGTTAATAGAAATTTTGTCTTTGGTTGACATTTTCCCGTCCTGTTCATATTGTTTATTTCGTTTGGAACTAATACTTTCTCGCAATTTTTGTATTCTGTCTTTAATGGTAGGCACTTTGATATCAGATTCATCGCTTAGTTGTACATAGTTGTTATTAGAATGTTCTTTGTCGTCCTTTTCAGAGCAAGAAGCGTCCGTTTCTTCGCTAGATTCTTCAATTTCTGATCTATTTGAAGAATCATTAGAAGAAGATTTTTTATCATACTTATTATTATCTATGGCTATTGTTAGATTTACATCTTTAAACACTGGAGTTGCGCTCAAACTGGAATTATATTTGTTATAATTAGCAGAACCATTCACAGCGTTAATTATGGTTGAATTGTTTTGTTTTGTATTGTAGTTTTCACAAACTTCATTTGGTTTATCGTCATCAGAACTACTAGTATTTTCTTCAAATATTGCTTCTTGCTTTGCCGTAAATTCTTCAAACGAACTGTATGAGAACCTTTTTTCTTTGGCATCAACATGTTTATCTTCAGTAGATTCACTCATTTCATACATAGATACTGGTCGATTAAAATTGCAATTTTTTATTTTATATTCTTTATCACCATCCGATTCAGCTTGAGAATTTAAAAAACTGCCAAAATCTTTTTGAATTTGTTCCAGAATACCTACAAAGTTGTCTACTTTAACTAAACTTCCCGTTGATTCTGTTTTAATATCTTCTAACGAATCGTATATACTTCTTGGCCTGGGTTTAGATTCATCTTCAACGGAATCTGTTTTCTTTTTTCTTCTTAATACTACCTTATATTCGCATATTTCTTCTGTTTCTGGAGTGCAAGATAGTGCAGAATTATTTTTACTTTGAAATGTTTCATTGGATATATCATTGCTTTTAATTTCTTCTTTAGTATTTTCAGTGTCACATTGCAGTTCCTCTGTTTCAGTATTTTCAATTTGTATAGTTTCTTCTTCGTTATAAATAATTGTACTAATACTATCATCGTTATCAATCATTTCTGAATTTATGTCTTCTACTTCAGGTGTTTTTCTGTGTTTAGGCAAATCATCGTCATCTTTGCCTATAATGCCCCACCAGTCTTCACTTTCGTCGCTCTTTTTATCATCATCTTCGTGAACATTTTCTCTAGATTCAAATGTTTGGATAGGTTTTGCATCTTCATATTCTGGAAGTAACTTATCATCTGTTAATTTTGTGGGACTTTTGTCCCTAATATCAGCTGGCAATTCTTCATCCTGATTTTTATATTCAACCAGGCTTACATCTTCTTCTTCTTCTTCTTCTTCTTCATCTTCTTCAGGATCGCTTTTTTCTGCAAGCGTTGTAGAGTCACTTAAAACACTCACAGTTCTTAACCTTGAATCCGTTCTTTCACTTTCTTCCATAATTACGCTGAGTTGATGTGGATATTGGTCATCTTCATAATCCATGGAACTTACATCATCTATATCTTCATTGGATTCGTCTGAATATTCTTCAACTATTCCTTCTTCTTTAGATGCATCTTCATCACTGCTATATGTGGTAATGTTTGCAATAGATTTCATTGATTTTAGAGGATTGATTTGTAAATGATGAGTATATTCATCATCTGTTTCTGTATCTGTTTCACAGTCAGAGCTTTCTATTTTTTCTTCTTTAGGTGGGGTTATAATGATTTCTCTTATATTCAATGTTGGTGTTATTATTCCCTTTGATACTGGTTCTGGTGCCTGTCTGTTAACTCTTTTCGGATGTGGCTCAAGTACTTTTTTATTTATTTTGCTTTTTTCATCTAGATTCAAATGACTATTCGCCGCTGAACTTTCATTATCACTTGGAAAATACGGATATCTTGGGTACATAGGAGGTGGATATCCATAGTAGTAGTGATAATAGTATGGATCGTAGTAAGGTAAATAATCTGATTGTACATTACTTTCATCTGTTTCATTGCCATCTTTATCTGAATAAGAGGGTTCGTAACTGTTAGTCCAAGAGCATTTGGGTGTTGAGGTCTCCCTGCCACTTTCGCTTGTATTTGGAGTTGGGCAATATTGTGGAGGGTAACCCCAGAAATGTAGCGGTGTGTGTCTACCGCTAGCTGCTGGCGAAGTACTTCTAGAGACGCCGCGAGAAGTAGGGGTAGTTTTTTTGTTAGTAGTTTCTTCAGGGTAGGAATCGGGGTAATAATAATGGTAATATTCATACCAGTAAGGTGGGTAAGGGTAAGGAGGGTAATATGGAGGGTAAGCCCATTCATCGGATGGGAATTCTTCGTTTTGATCGTCAACATTGGCTATAAAAAAATTTAATTTTGTAAATTTTGTCAAATTTGAAATTTGGTTGTTCTTAAGTAGGCATCTTAAAAATCGTTAGTTCCTTGAAATGAGTAGAGTACAAAAATGCACGTACATGATCATGCATTCTGTTTGATGAATTTGGAAAAATATTTTTGCTTCGTTTTAAATTAAAAATGATAAGTAGATTTATACAATCACTTTGGACTTACCACAATTATTATCTGGAGCAGTCATCGCTTGCAAAATCTTAAATGATCTGCTAGGGATTGAACTTCCCGTATATTTCTTTGGTTCTGGTACTACTTGTTCACTAGGATGCACGTATGGCTTGGGTGTATCATCACCTGTTAATATTACAAATACATCATTAATTATTTATAAAACGTAGGTATTCATTTATTGTGCATTTATTTATTGATGTGAGGAAACACTTCAATAGTTTAATTGTTAGCTGAACAAGATTTAGAAGTATTTAGGAAGGAAAAGCAACCTATAATCGGACTCTTCGAAGATTGGTCATAATCTTTTACATAAAACACGACAAATTGTATAGGAGTCCACGTGCCTATCTTCGGGGGTGTATAGGTATGTCTTAGTCTACTAGGTAATCTAAATCACGCAAAAACAACAAATAACTACGTCTTTAGATGGTTTTTAGTGAGGTTATTTATTAGTCAGTCGTGTGAATCGTTGTTTTTGAGTTATTTTCGATGTGTTTGGTTGAAAACTTAATGTGCATACATAATAAGTAGGTATACTTCTTAATATTTATTATGTAAATACGGGACGATAATTCAAAAATTGACATAGGCTAGATCTCATGAACTAAAAAATATGATATCAGAAAATATTTAAAACAGTGTCTAGGATACGAAGATGAAACTTAATGTCATTAAAAAGCATTTTTACATAGGTTTCAGATGCATATTTCTTATTTCTTTATAATGGTTATGTACAGAAAAGATATAAATTACGTACACATTGCAGTAAACATATTATATCTAAAAGAGGATAACTCATCTGTAAATAATCTTTTTCATGTTTCAGATAGTGGAAAACCTCCTATTGTTTATCCTAATCGTCATTATAATTTTGTAGCTTTAGGTCAACAGATAATTTGTGGAAATATTCGTGAAACGAATGTAGGTAATTGGACAAGTAATCTTTAGAATTCTGATATCTTAGTGCTTATACTAAAATTTAAATTCTAATATCATCGGTTGTAGCAGGTAAATTTTTGGCAGGTAAAATTCTACAACTTTTTTCTAATCTAATTGAAGTCGAAACACATTTAGGATTAGAAAGACTTCAAATTACTAACGTAATTCTTCTATAATGATGGTAAGTTCTATGTTTAATACTAAGAGAATTAGGGATCTTTGTGTGTTAGGTATTCGTGATACATCTGAATATAAGTCCAAGGTAGAATTGGAACATTAAAGTTTGAAATATTTCAATGAGACCGTTAAAAGAGAATCTGATGGTAGGTACGTTGTGGATCTTCCGTGGATTAGTGGTCATCCTACATTAGGTACTAATTATCGACTGGATTGTAGTAGGTTGGATTCAACAATTAAAATTCTTAGATGCAGTGGTAATTTTGATGAATATGGAAATGTTTTTATAAAGTGGCTATCTAAAGTTATTATTGAGAAAATAGTTCATGAATCAAAAATAACAGGTCACTTTCTTCTAGATAGAGCCGTTATCAAACTTATCAATCTCACTCCGATAATCAGACCAGTGTTTGATGCATTATCTCATATAAAGAGACCTCCTTTCCTAAATAATTGTTTAGAGACAGGTGCCAGTTTGAAAAGTACAGATAGAGATTTTTAAATTTCTTTAAGATTAGATAATGACAAATATACATTGAATTTGTTCGCAACATCTTTCTGGCGGTATGCTCTTCCTATGTTGTCAGATTTCTTCTATGAAATATCCTGCATTAAATTTTTTTAAAAAATGTATTATTAGCTTTAATAGAATCTATTAAAAAAAAAAAAAAAATTGAAAGCATCAATATGAGTTTTTTATTCATTACAATCAATTTTTATTTATCGTCTTTTACACGTGTATCGTATGTGGATATTGAACATTCTGGTTCATAACCTTTAAGTTTGGCAATCTAAGATATTTTGTTGACTGCGTCAAATGACAACTTAATTTTAAGTGTGCTTTTTTGTAGTTTTTTAAGATTTTTAAACATAATTTAAACATTGAATTTTTTAATAAAGACATTTAGGATGGTGAGGAAATGTGTAATGTGCTAAACTATTTGTAATAAGAATGTTATGCGGGTATTTCATAGATGAAGTTTCGTTAGTATAGACGGATGCATATATATTCGCTTCGTGCGTGACAGCAGCGCCAATTCATTTAGGTACTAATGGACTATTTCTGCGCTTACTGACAAATACAATTTTCAAAAGAATTCGTAATTAAAAAGTATATAATATGTTAGTTTTTTTAAAAGTATATGGATTTGTAAAACAAGTAAAACAATAATTTATCATAACTATATATTTTTATCGCCTAATTTAAAAAAAAAATAAGTATAATCATATTAATAATAAAATATAGGCAGGCAAGAATATTTACGGGAAAATGTATAAGAAGTTGCCTAAGTCTAATAAGTTGTCTTTGAAGAATTAACTTATTCTGTCAAAAAAAATACCATTAAATAATAGCGTGAAGTTAAAATGTATAAACAGAAGGATTGTTATTTATATTTTCATTTTTGTTCGAAAGAAAACATAATGAATGATTAAAACTGGTTTCCCATCAGTAAATCACAAAATTGCATTCCAGCCACATACAATAATCAAAGGCAGAAATCTTGAAAGCTAGCCCTTGCTGAACATTTAAGAATAAAGGGATGTTGAAGAATATCGTAAAATGATAATTTATTGTTTATTTAAAACCTTTCAAGTTTCTGATGTCTACTAGTTCCAGTATTACTGTAATTATTACAAAAATAAAGGTAATTTTTCTTCTTATTGCACACCTATCCATTTATTTCTTTGATTTAATTTCCACTTTGCTACTGAAAATTTTTATAATTTTCACTGTTTTTTTGCTAGTATTTTTACAATTTTCAACACAGCAGCTCCGGTTGCTTATTGTATTGTTTTTACCTACTTAAAAAAAAAAAGAAAAATGTATACGTGTATTTGATATGCCAAAATTACACAATATCGGTCTAAAATGCACGAATTATCCGCAACTAGCGCTTTTGCTTCTCCTACCATGACTTCGCACTGATCGAATAGATAAATAATTGTGTTTAGCGGCGTAGATACTATTACGAAAAACTTTATCGATCAAGCTAAAGAAATAATGGAAAATGCAAAATTTGATTTAAGAGCTTGGGAATATACGAATGCGCCAATTTTTTCGGATCATGTAAGTAATGTTTTAGATCTTTTTTAGGATAAAAGAAAGGATATGTTTTTAATTTCTCTAGATATTTATCAAAAATTGAATTCTCACAAAACTACAAAAATAATTGTATTTATCTATGGCACAAATGATTTTTGATTGGGTTTGATAGGGTTAGGTTGTCCTGTAACATTGATCCCCAAACACTTTTGTTGGAATTCTGTGAGAACTTAAAATCTGATCAATTGAAGTGGTTAAATGATTTTAAGTTTCTGTTAAAATTAGGGTTTCCCAAAGTTTTCTTTTAGTAATAAAATCGGTAAGATGAGTTTCTACACATTTTGTGACGCTAGTAACGTGTATATGATACGGTATGTTTTTTAGGTCATTGTCACACTTGTACAAGCAAAAACTAGAGCTCCATTGAAGAATATGGCAATTATGAATGTATTAATGCAGCCATATAGGCTGCATTAATAGGATCTCGTCCAGTGGAAGCTATTTAAGAGTTTAGCAAATTAATGGGACTAGAGTATTTTCTTTGGTCTGATTCATTTCCAGTTTTGGCCTGGATTTCACGCGATGAAAATGTGGGTGGTATTCGTTCGAAATAGAATTGACGAGAATTGACTTGATGTCAGTGTAAGTTTATACTTTGTAAGGTGAATGGTGCTGATTTACCATCAAGGTGTTGCTTATCGAAACATATGTATCATCTAGATGCTGGGAGTGTCCATCCTGACTAAAATTAAAGGCTTACTTGTAGTCTACTGTAGAAGATCTCTTTACCGAGGATGAGATCTTAGTAGAGACACAAACAATTGTTTTATTGATTGCTGATTTATATTACAGATATTTTTTTTTATTTTATAGGTTAGTTAGATACGTCGTTTTAATACAATTTGTAGAAATACTTCATATGGTGTAACAGTTGTAGAATTTGGTGAAGCTGAATTATTTGTTTTGTAGATTGTTTAAATGGAAAATTTTCCGTGTGTGTTAATGATAAATGAATAAGCTGTATATTGAGACTTCCGAAAAAACTTGTAAAACGTCTGGATACTTTTAACTTTACTCAGCCAACTGGATTGCCAGGAAAATTCTTTTTAGAAGACCCATCAATGAAGAACATATTAGACTTTTTCATTTCGGTGTTCAAGGTTGATCGAAAAGTTTTGGATTTTTTGAGAACGTAGAAGTATTAGAAATATTGTAAACGGACTTAAAAAATGTAAGAGACTTTCTAATTAAAGTCTACAATCCACTCCTTCTGCTCGACGAAAGTCATGAATAGTGTTGTTTACGTGTACTGTCTACAGATCTGTTCGTCTGGAGTTGTTGACTTCATTTTTATAGGGTTTACATTCATTGCTAGGAGAGGAAAACCTGCAGTGATACACTGCTGTTGATGCAAACGAAGTTTGTGGTAACTGATAACGCATTTAGAAATTGGGATTGGGAAAATTTTACTAAATATTCGTCTGCCAGAAAAATTAATTGGAAATTAAAGGTTATTCCGAATTTTTAAACAACTTTTAAGGAGAGTTTTAGGCCAGGATTGTGAAGAATTACCGACAGTTTTCTGCGATTTTCAGTCAGTTATAAATAAAATGTATCTGGCTTTTATTTCTGATGGATTTAAAGAACTTTTTCCGTTGACTCAGCTATGTTTATTAGAGATTTCAAAGAAAGTGTTCCTGTTTGTTATAGTATAGACAGAAACACCTTTGTAAGAAGAATAATATTGTATAGAAGAAAGTTGACCAAAAATTTGCGAATTTTTTTTAGAAAAGAATATTTAGGAGAGTTGAGAAACTAAATTTAAAGAGGGGAAAAGTTGTATTGATTGTTAGAGATGATTTCAAAAGTATTGATTGGCCTTTAGGACGTACCAAGTAAATAATACTAGGTAAAAACGGACATATCAGGCTTGTTCGCGTACCTACAAGTACATGAGAGTTGTTGAGACCAGTATAAAGGATTTTTCCATCGGAGGTAACAAAATATAATGTTTACTGCCAGAAAATTAGTAAAACAACCACCTATAAGATTTCCATTTTGGATTTATATTTTACAATATGAAGTGATCAAACTGCAAAAGGTTACAATTGTAAAACTTTATAATTTTTAGTTACAATTTTAATCATCCTGTAAAACACAATTAATATATAGTATTTGCGGTTTTTATCCATGTATTGATTTGTCTTTCAAAAAATAAAAATTATATTCACGTTACCGATTTATTTCTTTCTTTGCCTTGATAATATATCTAACGTTAAAGTGGTATATCCGTAAAGGAAAAGAAAAACTGTCTTAACCAAAAAATTATTTATTGAACGGGGGAAACGATAGGTTTATACCGGTTTGGAACGCGGACCATACAAGCTAAATCTATTATTGGACGAGTGTAAGTGAGATTGAGGTGGCAGACTTACGTACCGTGCGTCATACCATTTGCTCTGATAAGCGGTCTTTGTTTGTTTCACGGGTTATCCTATTATACCTTGTTCAATTCATTGTAAAATAGATGGTCGGCATTTAGATTTCTGTACCTGTATATATACGATAGGTATATTTTCTATCAAAATTTAGTTACAAATACTAACCTTCTATTTGAATTGGAATAGTCCTAACTTGAGGTCCTTTTTGGGCAGGAGGCTGAGAACCACGAGACACTGCAAAATATTTTTAATTAGAGTTTTATAAAAAAAAATTTTTTTAGAAAATTTAATTTAATTAAAATCATGAAATACTGAAATCCACCACCATAAATAAAAAAATATATAAATATACCACTTTCGTCAAGTAGCCTAAACACTTTTGAAGGAATATGTCCTCCTCTATATCTTGGGTTTTCCTCGTCTTGGAAATTCAGTTCTAAAAATATTGACAATCTATTTTAAAAACTGTAAAAATCTTAACGCAACAAACTTTAAAAATTTGCAAAATAACAAAAAGTTTACCATTACAGAAATAAGGTTGTTATTAAATTTTGTCTTAATTGTTATACCTATATGTTTTTTTATGAATTTGTTTACTATTTTTGCATTAGGTACCAACACTTACTTTCTATTTAGTAAGTTAAATGCATTATTTGTATAATTAATATACCTAATTAAATGTTAATTCGTTTTATTTTATTTTCAAATCGTTTACAAATACTGGTGTTTAAATATAACAGCTATAATTGCCGCGTTTGAGAATCCACATCGGATGCATCTGAGATGTAAAAAATCTTTGATCACGTGATTCAGTATACGTAAATGTAATGGGACAGATGTGTCCGATGTGGATAAAAAAACGCTCGAGATGTAAAAAATGCATCCGATGTGGATTCTCAAACGCAGCAAATTATGTGTTTGTTATAAAAAGGTAGCTTGTAAAAATTTTTCTTAAAATAACGTTACACTTTATTTGTGTAACGTCATTGGTCCGAAAAAAAACTGAACATTCTGTCATTGATTTTGATATACCTAAACATTTTAAGTTCCTTAGTTTTTTTAATATTTTTTCGCTAATAGTAAAACAGTAGTTTAAAGATTCGTAACTAAATTATTTTTATTATAGTTTTAAGCCTTTAGATGAATACTGTTTGTTGTGTGTCGGTATTATTGTAGTTTATTCAAAGAACATATGGAATAAGATTCCATATATATAATTTAATAGAATGGTTTTATAAAGATCTTAATAGGATGACAGCATACATTAGTAAATTGACAGTTTGTATAGACAAGTGACAACTGACTTTTATATGAAGGAGAGCGTTTAAGAAATCTCGCCAGGCGCGCTTGGGCGTTTCAGAAATCGTTCAGAAAATTATGTAAGAAGTGACATCACACCCCAAAATCTTAGTTGCATATGGTTCAGAAATTACATTCTGGTTACAACTTTACGTCCTTCTCAAAGGCAGGGGGGTGTTTGGGATGTGCCATGTGCACAACAAATATTTGTTGACGGGAATTTTGAGTTTCATGTTACGTGTTATCTTGGCAAATTATTTTAATTTTATTAGGTAACATTATACTGTTAATTATAATTCATTGTGTATACACTAATCCAAGCCGTACAAACATACTGTTAGCCTGCATCTTGCGGTAGCCTGCGGCTGTTATAGGAAACGTTCGACTAAAAAAAGAAGTGTTATGTCACTCAGCGTAAAATAAGAAGAGAAAGAATAGTCTAGAAATGTCATTTCATATCAAGAAACATCTGGACGGTTCGAGAAGGTTCTAGAAGGTTAAAGCGATCTGTAAAGTCGATGATCCTGTCATCAAATTTTCAGTTTTAGGAATTATAATTAACAGTAAAATATTACCTAATGAAATAAAAACAATTTGCCAAGATAACACGTAACATATTAACATATAACTCGAAATTCCCGAAAATAAATAGCTCTTGTGCGCATCCCATACAGCACACATTATATCAGAAGTGTTTCAGAAATATTTCAAACGTTTCAAACAGATAACATTTCAAACACAAGTTTCTGAAATATTTCTGTATCATTTTGGTTAAATATTTCACTGAAAATGTTTCTGAAACATGGTATGAATGTTAAACAAAAGGTTACTAAACGGGTTATGTTGTAAGGACCAACACTCAATAAGGAATTTCTGATTTGTAAGATGAAGATGGGTTATGTAGTTATTTTATTTCATCCTACATCCAGCCAGAGACAACCAACCCTATATTTTAAATAATTATAGGTTTGTGTTGTCGGTTTTTGCCATTTTCTTTTTTTGTTATTTATGAGTTGTGCTGTGGTTATATGGGAAGCAGAATATGTCTTTAGAAATTGAGGTGAGTTTACTACAAAATAAATGCTTGTTTTGTTTAGTTTAGGTTTATTTACTTTATCTCATTCTACGAGACGAGTGACGCCATTTCGTTTATCAAATTTACAGGCAGTGTTAGTCTTATTTTTATCTAAAGATAACCTACATTTGTTGTCCTTTCCCCTAGTTTTGTTTATTAGTTCTACAGCTCGGATTGAAAAGCGGAGCTTTATGTTTTGTTTAGGCACGAAAAGTTATTAATATTTTACTTTTAACTTTACCATTGGGGTCAGTGCATTTACCGCCCCTTAATGTTCATCTACAATAATTATTGTTAACAATTCTATGGTTTTTCTGATTGATTCCATGCCTTAATATTGACAAATTTTAATTTGTAACGTCTTCTATGACGGCTCTGGAGATGGCTTTATTAAGCTAAAAGCGCTTAGCCGAATTTTCAATTTTTTACACACTTTTGTACCTGTTCCATTTTCAATTCTTTTTTTTGCCAAAAAATAATCCCTGCATATTATGAAATGATAATAATATTTCAGATTGTATTATTTTAATAAACTTACCTTGTTGGAAGTTTTGAGGAAACTTGGGAGAATGTTCAGTTATTGGAATATTTTCATATTCGTCGTCATCTGAAACAATTTTTTGAATAATTTTGAAAGAATTTGACTGTGACGGGTTGTTTCCCCAACTCTGCTGACGATTCAGTACTCTGCAAAATAAGAAAAATAAATTAAAATTTGTAAAAATATTTATTTAAAATTTTTCAGAATGTCATTCTTCATATTTTTTTTGCTTGTTAAATAAATACGATTCACGTTGAGAAACTTCGTTTTTGTTGTACAGGGTGCGTAAAGAATAGGTACAACAATTGTGGATTTGCAAAATTAAAAATTTTTCACGTTAATTTTTTTGGAAATGCCTTAATGAAAAAACTTCATTTGTCTTTTAGATTTCTCCTTTCAAGCGCATCACTTGAGCGCTTGGAAAAAATGTATTTAAAAATTAAGTCAAAAAATAAGTAAGAAAAAGCTCCTTAACAGAAATGCTCCGTCGAACGTCATTTCACCTACAATTGACAACGACCAACCACCGTCAGGTGTCACTTTTCTATATAGGCGCAAATCGACAACCATACCATACCACTCAGTTTCATCTCCGATTTCCACTAATTCTCATTTAGAACGAAAACATAAGTTAAACATATACGCTCGAGAAACAACGCGTAGGTACTCATTGTTCATGTTTAATTGCACTTTAGAGTCGTATTCCCAAGTATGTTAATTGCTCTTGTCAAAGCTTCTTAAGAGATAGGTAAAGAAATGCCACAGGATTCGCAACAGAAGATTTTGCTCTTCAACATCGACATCTATGGGCTATCCAAGGGTCATATTCTAGCATGTCTATATGAATTAAAATATCACCATTTTTAAACAATTAAAATAAAAATGAGCTTCTGGAAAAGTTCAACAATACACAATTTCAATTAAACTTGCTTTACCTGATATATTTGAATTCCTAGAAAAATGTATGGTTGAAAGGATACTTATTCAACCCAAGAGTAGGTAAAATGTCTTTAAGAACACTGGTTCAATTTTCTTCGACATACTCGTATTTGTGAGAGGATGGATATTCCAAACTGGTTGCTATCAAAAGCAAATAATGGAACCATTTTCAAGTTAAAAATGATTTACGGGTTGCACTATCAACAAGACAGCTTTACATAGATTTGTTAGTACGCAATAAACAAAGTCAGATTTCACAGTTAAATAGATTTAAGTATTTATTTGATTTGTGCGGAAAATTTCACAATGACAGCAAATTTAAAAAATACAATATTGTTTCAATCTAACTAGCTAAATAGATATGTGGCCATCATATCCACTCTTGTTGCACAAACTACAATTTTATATTATCTAATAAAATTATCCATATAATGCCTGACAAACATTTGTAACCTGTTTTATCTTGCCAAACTTTGTTTACAAAATGTCCTTCATTTACCCATGTTTCATCCAAATAAAAACTATTTTTGTGTTCTCTTCCTAATTTTCTAATTTTCCTTAAATATTGCCTCCTCCAACAAATAATTCCATCTTTCTCTATGAGCGCCGATTTTCTATCGTTCTTCTCCCAAACAAAGTTTTATTCATGTTAAGTTTTCCACAATTTGTTTTCTTAACGTTTGTCAAAGTTTCGACTCCATTAATGTCTACTAAAAGTTTATGCAAAGTAGGTATCTTTTTTTGTAAATAAAACGAATGCACCTTTCTTCGGATCAGTATCGTCTAGTTGAATGGGTTTTTTTCCCAGGTGACGTTTTAGGTGCTTCAAAAGTCTATAAATGGTTGCTTCTTCAATTTCTGTCATATTTTAACACTTTGAAACTATACTACGAACAGTACTATTGAAATACTCATGTACAAGAGCGTCAGGTACATTTAACACAAAAGTTGCATGGTTAAATTGCACTTTAATTTCACAGGAGTATAATTAGACGTTTGTACCATTTTTATTGAACAAAATCACTTAATCAATATCGTTTTGTATCACCTATCATTACAGAACTAAAAATTCTGCGTGTTACAATCACAGGACTATACAAACAGATATTTAAATCTTGATTAAAATAATTTACAATCTGCGTAATACTTTCTACCGATTAGAAATTTTAATCCTTTCTAAGAAAGTTGAGGGCTACTTAAATTGATCTTGAATTGTAAATATTTTCTACCTGTAGAGATTACCTACTTACCCTATTTTTGTTGATTAAAATGACTAGAAAATTTAAGACAAGAATTGAAATAAATTGGTATTTTTAAAAATTTTAGAAAGAAAACCAAAGATTTTATTTTGGAACAAATAATGATAAACATTTTATTTTAGAAATTCTCCGTTACTCCGTTAATAGGATGTTATATTGGGGTTTATCTCCTGGGTCATAAAATTTTTACTATCATTTATTTTCAAATAAACAGTAACAAACATTTTTTTATTAATACCTGTCATTTCCAGCAGGTGATCTAGGTGTTTCAATTTGTATAGGAACAACCCTAGGTCCTTTGCTTCCAACTCCTTGTGGCTGAGGTCCAGGATGTTGCATCACTAAAGGCTGAGTTACATAAACCGCATTTGGCTTGGAACCTTCGCTTTCAATTTGATATTGTTGTGGGTTTGTACGTATTTCTATTCGGACTCCAATTGGTTGTTGATCTTGTCTGTATTGTGGTTGCTGTTGATATTGCTGCTGTTGTTTATATTGGGGCTGTGGTTGGTACTGAGGTTGAGATTGATTGTACTGAGGTTGATTATATGACGGCTTATCGTTTTGATTACCTTGTGGCCACCTCTGTTGTGGCTGAGCTGCAGGAGGAGACGGCTTCTACGAAATACATTTAAAAAAATTATAATTACGTTCCTAAAAAATTATATTAGGAAGCAAATATCATTGTTGATACTGCAATGTGCTATATTTGTGTGATGTAATTTGTGTTCTACTGACAGTTAACCAGTCTGACATTGAAAGTTTGCATTAGGGGAAGTAGCAAACGCTGATATTATTCGTTTCCTACTAGTCTAATGCTAATTTTCTGTAATTTTCAAATGCACTTGTGCAAAACCTATTGGAAAATGTTCAGTGGCCGACACTGTATGCATAAATACTATTAAATACACTAAAAAACAGTCTTTAAATCGACACCGACGCCTATACTTTTCATTTTAAATTATTTACAATTTGATTAGCGTAATAATATTTGTTAAACTGTGATCATTTATAGTTGTCAGTTGATTTTGTGTTTTTAACCGACTTCAAAAAAGGAGGAGGTTCTCAATTCGTCGCGATATTTTTTTTTTATGTATGTTCAGCGATAATTCTTTAACACGGTGTCCGATTTCAATAATTCTTTTTTACTTTCCTATCTGTATACAGATATAAGGAAAGTATAGGAATCATGATTTTTTTCGACTTCGAGTTTTCGACGGATTTTTACGTTTTGAAGTCCCCTGAATCCGTTTTGACTATTTTCGCGATGATGTATGTGTGTGTGTCTGTGTGTGTGTCTGTGTGTCTGTATGTCGCATAACTCATGAACCGATCCACAGAAAAACACCAAATTTTAAACTTAAGCTTTATTCCAGCGTCTAATAAACTGATTAGATTTTGGGCAGGGTCGGAACATCTGGGGGGTGCTTTATTGATGGTCATTTTTATATTTTATGGAATATATCTGTTATTTACGTTTGGAGAAGAAAATTCTTTAAACAAAAGTTACTTCTAATATAATTATCTATAATTTTTGTTCTATACAAAATTTTCCTAAAATGGTCCGTATTCGAGAAATTTGACAAAATGTAAAAAAAAATAATTTTTTATAAAAATTGTTCAATTAAAAGTTGTTTGTAATATAATTCTCTATAATTTTTATTCTTTATATAATTTCTCTAAAATGGTCCGTATTCGAGAAATTTGACAAAATGTAAAAAAAATAATTTTTTATAAAAATTGTTTAATTAAAAGTTGTTTGTAATATAATTCTCTATAATTTTTATTCTTTATATAATTTCTCTAAAATAGACCGTATTCGAGATATTTGAGAAAATGTGTAAATTTCGAATTTTGAAGAAAACTCAAAAACGGATAAAGAAAAAAACAATAAATTTTAAACTTAAGGTTTATTTCGGCCTGACGTGAAATAATTAGATTTTGGACAAAGTCGGAATATCTGGGGGGTACTTTATGGGAAGCCCATTTTATATTTTATGGAATATATCTGTTATTTATGTTTGGAGAAGAAAATTGTTCAAATAAAAGTTACTTCTAATATTATTATCTATAATTTTTGCTTTATGTCAAAATTTCCTGAAATGGTCCGTAATCGAGAAATTTGACAAAATGTGCAAAATTGTGATTTTTATGAAAATTGTTGAACTAAAAAATGGTTGCGATATCGATCTCTATAATTTTTGTTTATATATGATTTTTCTAAAATGGACCGTAATGGAAAAGTGCTAAATTTAAATTTTTCAGTATTTTCGTTTTCAATGAATATCTATAGAAAAATGTTTCGAGGTAGATATATGTGGCCAATATATATATTTAGTTTATCCTCTAAACATTTATAGAGATGCTGCAATAGGTTGTACAAAATAACCGGAAAAAGCCTATAATAACTAGATAGGAAAGTCATGTGTTGGACACATCAGATTTTTTTGTTAGAAAGGGGGATACTTCAGAGGTGGTCCCATATAAATTTGGTCAAAATTTAATAATTGGGGCCATGAGAAAATCCTCAAACTCTTCATTTTTTAGTATGTTTAGCGATAATGCTTTACCACCTTGTCCGATTTATATGATTCTTTTTTTATTAGCGAGGGGGGTACCTCAGGGGTGGTCCCATATAAATTTGGTTAAGATGTGGTGATGGCATCTGCACGTTTTTGAAGTCGGTTTTTTAAATTTTTAATTTCTAATACTTGTTAACTTTATAGTCCAGCCGGTAATGCCATATTTTGTGCTACGTTTTTTTAATGAATGCATCTTTTAAATTATGATTATTATATATTTTTAACATAGTCCAGGATCAGTAATAAGGTCAACCTTCACCCATATATTTAATGGATAAAAGTTATATTTAATTGGATAAAATAGGTTTTTAAATATACCGCAAATGGGTTGTTTAAGAAAATACGGTCACGGCTATTTTTTGCTTTCCTTTCTGTGTACAGATAAGAAAAGTATAGAAATCATGATAAAAGTTGCGTATGATGTTATTCTCTATTATTTTGTCCCTATACATGATTTCTCTAAAATGAACCTAATTCGAGATATTTGAGGAAAAGTGCAAATTTCGAATTTTGAAGACAACTCAAAAACGGATAAAGAGAAAAACACCAAATTTAAAACTTAAGCTTTAATCTATCCTGTGGGGAGCTGATGAAAGTTTGGGCATAGTCGAAGAATCTGGGGAATACTTTACAGGGTGTCATTTTTTTATTATTAGAAAATAAATAGTCTGGACCGTATTTTCTTAGGTAACCCTTTTGCGGTAAATTTATAAACATATGCCGGTGTCGTTCTAATACCTCGTAAGCCCAAAAGTAACATTTTACAGAAGAAGCCAAAAACCGTTCTCTTTATTTATTACTATTACTATACGAGGTATTAGAAAAGTTAAATTTTTAAAGTTTTAAAAATTTTGTGGGCTACGAGGTTTTCTGTAATGGTAAATATGGGTAACCGCAACAATTTGACGTAAAAATCTCATTTTTGTAAAAATGAGGGTTACGAGGTATTAGAACGACACCGACGAATTTTATTTAATAAAAAGAAACTTTCATCCATTAAACAGATGGATGAAGGTCGACCTTACTTCGGATCTTAGACTAACAGGTTCTACCCTATAATCTAAGAGTGCTCACATGCAGCGGCATCACCAAGCTAATTTGAATTTGTATTAAAAGTGGACAATAATCGCAAAATAATCGATACACTTTAGAGATGCACAATTAACAAACGAAATAACGTTGAACAATTATTAAACGAATGCTATTTGGAATAGTAATAAATTACGTGAGAATATTCATATATCATACAGGGTATCCCATTAGTGCGTAATTGCTCGATAAATCAATTTGTGAAATAGATACACAAACAAGTTTTAAATAAAAGCAGAGACAATCCAGCGAGACGTGTAACTCAATGTATTTTTTTTGTTCGGTAAAACTTATTTGGGCGATTGTAACCACAACCAGTCTATGATGGCGCCACTAGTAAATAGCGGGAAAATTAAAAATGCTTTAGGGCGGGAACATGGATTCAGAAATCATTTTTGTATACAACAAATTTACAAGAGAAACAAAAATTATTGTTTCACTGTTTATTAAAAAATATAAAAGCTTCCAATAACATCAAATTTTTTATCATATAAATAATAATTTTAATTAAGGAAGTTTTAATCAGTTTAATAAGCAGTGAACATAGTTTTTATTACTCTTGTAAATTTCGTTAAAAAAACTTGAAAATTCTATTGATTATTAAATATTTAAACTTGGAAAAATAATACACCAAACTCTTTTTCTATAAATTATATTTTTTTAAGGTACAGAAAAACAAACTACAATTGCTATGTTTAGAAAGTACCTCCTATCATTTTGTGACAAATTACAAAGAAAATAACAGTTGTTATATATTCATAATATATTTAAAAACTAATGTAACAAATATTTTATAAAGTATAGAGTATATCGATATCTTTTTGCCAGACTATCATAAGTGCCATTTGAACAAATGTCGCTTATGTTAGTCTGGCAAAAAGGTATCAATATGTTATGACTGTTTATTTTAATAGAAACCATGGAAATGAAACAAACACACATACACTCAACACAAATGTATAAGGCCTGAGTCGAGTCCCCATCCTGTAAACTGGATCGAAACCTGCTAGACCCATTCCGTACACCCCCTGCTAACTCTTCTTAAGGTAATCAAGATCAATAGATTTATATGTCATGCCTTCTAAAAGGGAATGAAGGATGACATACTATCATTTAAACAGGACGTTGCTGAAGGCTTACCCCTGTTATTTTGTTTGTTTGTGTATCTTGTGTGTGTGCATTCCTGTTGTGTCCCCAGTCATGTAAAAGTTTTCCTAGTCTCCTAATTTGGTTACTAGGTGGACCTTCTCCAACTAGTAGTCTAATCTATTCGATCTGTTCTGAAGCAGGAGGTACTTTTCAAACATAGCAAATAATATTATTAATAATAAACACTATTTAAAGATAAATACATTTTTGTAATTTTTTTGTCATTGCCCCTTACCTTTCTCTTACACCACCAGGGTATACCTATTTTCCATATTCCCTTAATTATAGATTACCTTACAATGTTCGAATGAATATAACATTTTACTCATGAAAAATCTAATTTCATATTTAACTCTTTTTCAATTTCATTTGAAACAATAATTGGTACCTATATTACAATTTAGTATCAAAGAAAATTTCTAATAAAGTTATAGCAAATCCTACTTAAACTACTGGTTGTTCTGCAGGATAAATTAACTTTTCTTGAGATTGATCTCTCTATAAAATCCAAAACCGACCTGATGTCCCCAAATTTATTTTCCAATGCATCCTGATTTAAAATTCTGCCCTTTTGTGATTCAATTTTTTTTCTTCCTTTAGAGTGGCTGTTAGAGGTAGGTGTATGTAAGAAATAGCTAATCTCTAATCATTTCAAAAGTCCTTTGCCAATACTACATGTGCAGATTTTTTACTCAGCACACATTTTACTTTTCTAGTAGATAGGAACTTTGTGCTGCCATTAAAGCTGTCCATACATTCATCTACCTACTTAATGAACACAAGTAGCTGTAACAATGG